TAGGACACGTCCTAGACACACCAGGGTTTTCAAAGTCTGCAAACATTTGGCACAAACCTAAAAGTTTATCCCAGGCGTTGTTACCACCAACAGTGTATGAAAGCGCCAACTCGCCATGCTCTCACTAGTATTGGCTATTAAAAGTTTTTCAAGAACAGAAGTAATTGGTTGATTCTTGTATGTGCCCTGCCAGGGGGCAAACCCGCATCATTGGGACGATGCTCTAACCAACTGAGCTACCCGGCCAGGGTTCAAGAAGAGATTTCATTAAAGGCGTGATAGAAATAAAAATGTATTCTTACAAATGCTGGCAACATTGTAGAACAGTATCTAAATCGACAATTTCTTTTTTTAAAATATATTTTTATTAATTTCAGAGAGGAACAGAGAGGGAGAGAAACATCAATGATGAGAATTATTGATTGGCTGCCTCCTGGACGCCCCCTACCTGGGGATCAAGCCTGCAACCTGGGCATCTGCCCCTGATTGGGAATGGAACCTGGGACCCTTCAACGCGCCATCCACGGAGCCAAACCAGTTAAGGGCTACATCGATAATTTCTTCTAAAAAATGTGCAGCCACGTTCACAATCCTGAGCACCTTCACATGGGTGGCAGCAACCCAAGTTCCTGAACCATTTTTGCCTTGACAAGTATTTTTGAAAAAACGCTGTTGAGGCCACTCCTATGAGAACCCTTTTTAATTTTTGCTCATAGGTAATGCTTGCACACGGTGCGACGTTCATTTGATTGGCAGGTGATTCAGGAAGTGGGGCCCATAGGACTTGATGATTGGGCGTGTGAAAGGAGGAATGGGAGGACCATGTGGATTCATGGGTGGCGCGCAGTTTTCCAGCTGGACTAGCAGGAGGACAGTGGGATCGCGCATAGGAAGAAGGTGTAGAACCTGAGAAGGGGTATGTACAAGCTAAGGCTGCGGTGCCTGTGGGTCACGTGGGTAGCATCTTGACCATATGCAGCTGATGACTTTATCCGGAGGTTATGCCCTTCTCCTATCCTGGTGCCCGCTCTCTAGGGGTCTCCTTTTTGGCCATCGGGCACCTGGAAAGCCGGATCAGTCATCTGGAGGATTCAAGTGAACAGAGAATGCCGTAAAGGCGACAGGTGATCCTGTGAGACATTTCCTTCTGACCAGGAGGCCACGGTGGTCGCCTGGGAGTGTTTGCCAGGCTCTGGGCCCTGCAGCTCCTTGCCTGCAGCCATCACAGTTTCATTCTCCTGGCAACTCTTCTGAGTGAGGTGAGGTCCTTTCCCTTTTAGAACAAATAGGACTCGAAGCAGCTAAGGTATCTGAGTGCTCACTATTTGCCAGGCACTGCTTACTCTTCGCTACAATAAAACTATATTAACTATCATAAACTATCCTGCTTACTCTTCGCTACAATAAAGTGGACCTTCTCAGGAAATCCCTTTCGCAGATGGGGAGCCTGCCCAGGTCACACTGCTGCTGAGTGGCAGAACCAGAATTCAAACCCAGGCTGCCTGACTGCAGTGCAACTGCTTTTACCTGACAATCTATACTGTCTCCTGTGTGTTCCTCTGCCCTCCCCCACGCCGCCCCCCACCCCAGCTCAACTCCACTCCCCCCACCCCCACCCCAGCTCCTGGCAGACAATTCCTTCTTCATGAATGCACTTTTAATCTACACAACTGGTTACACTGCCGTTTGATTAGGTTATACGTAATCCGTGCCGGTGATTCAATTCTGCTCTCCGGAAACCATCTGAAGTCCCATCTTGATTGCATTAGTGTGGTTCTGTTTGCTCCAGCCGCTTCCAACGTGGCTGACTTCGGGGTTCCAGGTAAAGACGCAGAAAAGGGCACCCCAAGAGGGGGCAGAATTCGGGGTTACAGCAAAGCTCTTCCTCTGGGCAGGCCCATGGCTCCCGACTCCAGACCTTCCTTCCATCTTCCAGAAGCTTCCTGAACCTGGTCCCACAGTGGTTTTGGCTGAACAGGACAGGCATGTTCGAATGCTGCTGACACTCAAGATGGATCCTCTGCAGAACTAGGCAGAGGTTTTCCCAAAGGTTAGAAATTCTGCCAAAAAATCAGGTGAGCAACCTCCCACGAGGAAACTACCGGCCGTGCTTCCAGGCGCTGTCCACATTTCTTTGTTCTGTTTACCGTGAATGTGGGCATAAGTGATTGAAAATAACCGAAGGCCAACTTTGACCTTAGCCCATATTGGATCCATTCTATAACAACTTTTATTTTTTAATTAAAAAATATTTTCATTGAGTTCAGAGAGGAAGGGAGAGAGAGAGAGAGAGAGAGAGAGAGAGAGAAGAAAAAAAAAATCCGCACACTGGGGATGGAGCCCGCACCCCGGCTCCTGTCCTTGGCTGGAATCGAACCTGACGCCTTCAGTCCACAAGCCAACACTCCATCTACTGAGCCAAACCAGCGAGGGCCTTTAGCAACTTTAATAAGCTAATTGCCCTTTCAACTTGCTGCTTTTCTACTGCAGTTTGGATAAGTTAGGCCTGAACATTACACAACTTACTTTATCCTTGTTGGCAACCTGAGTTTCAGCTCAAGGTGTTCACTCCTAGGTTCTTATTTACTCTCGTCGTTCATTTAAAATGCAAACCATAACAACAAAAACTGAAGGGAACTCAACAATGAGCAAGCACCAACTGAGGCGCATAATACTTTAAGTATGTTAAAAAGCTCTTAACTCTCCGCAGACGCTGGTTTGGGGGTTTCCTTGGGGAGCACTAAGGCTTTCTCAAGTACCCATTTACCCCAGGCCAAACCCAGCGGAACCCCGCAATGTGCAGGAATGTGGGCAGGAGCGGCCCTCCTCCGCAGAGCTCTGATCTCGCCCAGCGCACTTTATTTAAGCATCTCCTCCATCCCTAACATTACCTTTAGCACATTACATCTTTGTCCCCCCCCCCCATAATTACATTATCTTGAAGGCACCGCATAAACGTGGTTTTTTATTAAGCTGGTCTATTGGGGGGAGGGGGTTGAAAAGAAATGCCTTCTAATGCCCTCAGGTCCCAGATGAGTTCAGAAAAAAAGAAAAAGTCAAGGTCCCTGTGGTGGCAGGGATATCGGGTAGGGGCTTGTGGACACGTGGTGGGCCAGAAACGAATTTGGGTCTGGTCCTACAACGCCTGGTCCCACTGCTGTGATTTTTGTTTCCCGGTTCTCAAAGTGATGTATGTGCGTTGTCAAAATAATTGTGAAAATCAGAGAAAAAGTAAACAACTCGCGATCGGTGTGATGTTTGGGGGAGTAAACCGTTCGTTTTGGGGGAAGCGATGGAGAGGAGAGGACACATCGGGTCTCTGGCCCGGACCGCCGGGCAGCAGGGTACCCCCGATGGACGGATCCAATCGGGGTTCGAAAGGCCGGCGGGCCCAGGGCCCAGGGCGCAGGGCGCAGGGCCATCTCCTCCTCCGCCACCTGCGCCGTGACTGGCGCCTCCCCGGGCCCCGCCACCCGGTTCCTGCGGTCCCCTCCGCGGAGACCCAGCCCGGGGACCTTCCCCGTAAGTGTCTACCGACCGAAAATAGGTCCCGGGTCCGGCCCCGGCCCCACAGCACGTCCTCCCCTTTAAAGGGAGCCACCAGGCGGCACCGGGGGGAGTTTGCGGAAGCGCCGGCCGCGGCCGGGCCGGGCGGGGCGGGTCCCGCGGGGCGCTGGCCCCGCCCCCGGCCGTCTCCCCCATTGTGCGAGCCGCTCGCGCCCAGGCCCCGCCCCGGAGCCCCGCCCCCGGAGCCAGGCCCCGCCCCCTCGCACCCTCCCTTGGCTCATTTCCGGCCGCCGCCGCTACCGCTAGCCCGTCAGGAGGGTTCGGCGGAGGGAAGAAACAACAGCCGCCATCTTGTTTGTGTGCTAGGCCGGGGGGAGCGAGGGACGGGCCGGCGGGCCAGCGGGACGCCGGGCGGAGTGCGGACCGCGGGAGCCGGGGCGCGGAGGGGCGCCGGGCCGGGGGAGAGGCGGCAGGGGCCGCGACAGTCGCGGGGGGCCCGGGGCGCACGAGCCGAAGCGAAGCCGCCGAGCCCGAGCCCCCTCCCGCCCGCACACACCCCCGCCGCGGCTCGGGAGCCGGGCCGGCGTCGCCGCCTTCGGGGGGGAGACCCTTACATAAGCCCGCGCCCCGCGGCGCCTTCCCCGCCGCCAGGGCCGCCCCGAGCGGAGCCCGGGAGGGGCGCGGCGCTCCCGGCACCTGGCCGCCGGCGGAGCGGCCGGAGCGGCGGGCGCGGAGGCCCCGGAGGAGCGGAGGCTGCCGCTGCGCCACCGCCGCCGCCGCCGGGCCTCCTTCCGCGGCGGCGCGGCGTCCGCTCGGGCGGCGGCGCCGTGCGGGCCGGCGAGCTCCGCGCCCGGCGTCCTGGCCGCGCCTCCGCCGCCACCGCGCGATGTGAGGCGGCGGCGCCGGCCTGGCTCTCGGCGCGGCGGTCCGTGCGGCCATTAGCGGCGGCGGCGGCGGCGGGCGGGGAGCGCGGAGGGTGGGGGCGCAGGGCCGGGAGGGGGCCCGGAGGAGGTGAGCGTGCCTCGTCGCCTCCTCCTCTCCCCCCCGCTCGCCCCCGCCTCCTGGTGGCGATGAGAAGGAGGAGGACAGCGCCGAGGAGGAAGAGGCTGATGGCGGCGGCGGCGGCGGAGCTCCGGGAGACCTCGGCGCGGCGGGCACCGGCCGCGGCGGCCCGGGGACGGCGCCGCTAGAGCCGCGAGCTGCGGGCTTTCTCCGCGGCGGCCGCGCTCGCTCGCTCTTCGCCCGGCGGCCGTGCGCCCTCCTGCGGGCCCGGGCCCGGCGCGGCCGCGCACCCCCTCACCTTTCCGTCGGGCCGCATCCCCTCCCGGTCCCCGCGCCGGCGGGCGGCGCCGAGGAAAAAGGAACTCCCCCCCCCCCCGCCGGCGGCGGAGCCCCCGGCCCAGCCCGGAGCGCGGGGCGGGGGCCCCTCGGAGGCAGAGCTTTCCCGGGGACTCGCGCTTTTCCTCGCCTGCGGATCTCCGACAGAATTAAAAATGGCCGAGAATGTGGTGGAACCGGGGCCGCCTTCAGCCAAGCGGCCTAAACTCTCCTCTCCGGCCCTGTCGGCGTCGGCCAGCGACGGCACAGGTTAGTCCGGGCCCGGCCCGCCGCTCCGCACCTTTCTTCCCCGCGTGTGTGTGTGTGTGTGTGTGTGTGTGTGTGTGTGTGTGTGTGTGTCCCTCTCCCCCCGTCCTCTCCCCGCTCGCTGTTGAAGGTGTTTGAATGAGCTGGTCCAAGACGTCCAGCAGCCCAACCATTTTCTCTGCCTCCTAATCCATTCGTTGCAACATTATGTCATATCGGTGTGTGTGCCGGAGTCGGCTCCTCCGCGGGCCCGGAGCAGCGGCCTTAGTATTCTGGCTCCCGTGCGTTTAATGTTGGGAATGCCGATGCATTTGTGCGGGAAGGTCTGGGGGTTTGGGGGTTTTTTTGGTTTTTTTTTTTTTTTCTTATATACGATTTTACTTTTCATTTTGTTGTTGGTAAAGGAGGAATTGCAAAAGCTTTTCTCCTCCCGTTTCTCTTACTTCTTGTTGCCACTACTTTCCACTCTTGAGTATTTTCGTGGCACAAGATTATTTTTTTCTGTTGAGAATGAGGGTGTCAAAAATGATGATAATGTTGGTTTTATGGATCTATGTGTGTGTGTTCCAGGATTTCAGGTTTGACGTGAGAGGTTTAACGTCAGATGTGAAATTTGGTTTGAATTATTTTACCTATCATGCCTAGCTTTTTTTTTTTTTTTTTTTTTTTTTTAAGAATCAATATGGAGCGCAGTTCATTTGACATCTTCCAGTCTTTGGGTTAGGACCGAAATGTCTGAAACTCGGGGTTTTCGGGTTGGGGGAGAGAGGGATGTTTTCTTTGCAGTTCGTAGTCGCTTTCTCTTTGGCCGGGGAGGAAGAGGTAGCTGGTTTGTGGCAAGAGTTACTGGAGATGAAGCTAAGGAATGGAAAGCGTCCCGATCATGGATTGATGGGATATGTCGGAAATGTGCATTAGGTTTAGCATCTGTGTGTTTTTACCTTGCTATGGTTTAAACATGTTTGGGAGATCCCTGTTTTAAAAGCTCTACGAATTCTTTACTTCACTCAGCGCTGGGCTCGCCCTTTCTCCAAAGAGAATCCAGGGAGACTTGCTTCCATCATGCCTTCCTCTCGGTTCCTTTGGTGCTGTCCTGGTGGCCCGGTCTCTTTTGCTGTCAGCTGTTTGGGGGGCCAGGATAACGAAGAGGAAGAATGGCTGGCCGTCTGACAGTCCGCAAGATGTTCCCCTTCCTCCGAGCATCTCTGGCCCCCACAGCGGGCGCGGCGGTCTGCCTCCCTCCGCCAGGGAGAGGGCTGATGGAGTTAAAGGCGCCCTTTGAGTTTGCAGAGAACTGGAAGCACGTTTCTAAGGCGGCTTCGTTTTAAAGGGTGACATGTAAGGCTGTAGCACACGTTTTTGTTTCTTTGTTTTAAGGGTTTTGGCAGAGTTCCTCCAAGATTGTAACATTGGCAATGCATGGGCTTTGATCTGTCCTGACTCCTTGAAGTTTCTGTAGTCTTCAGGGATTTTTCTTAACCCTCAGTTCATGCACATAAATATTGTATTCCTTTGCACTTATTAAAGTCACTTAGAAATTTTTATAGGTCACGATTAGACGTGTCTTCACGAATAGATCTTTGGATTGTTTAATTTTTGTGTAATGTGGTCATGGATTTTACATTTGAGTTAGCCAGTGACTTGGGATATTTTAGAAAAAACTCCTCTTCTGTGCATTATCTTGATGACCCCTTATTGGAGTAGCTTCGTCTTGGAGTAATGCAGGCCTGGAAGGAAGGCTCTGCTCAGCTTCCAGACACCTCTGTTCATGGCACTGCTGCCTCCTCCATACTCATCTGTGTAGTTGGTAACTGTAGCGAACTCATTCTGGGATAGTGTTTCACATGTCTGTTACACAGAAACGATTTTGCTACTTGATATATCTTTGAATGGTTGTGAGACCTAAATGTATCAAGTGGGTTTTTGTAATAATAATTTAAAAAACCCTCTCAACATTGAGATTAACTCAGTCTTGGTACTGTTTATTTTAGTTAGCTTTCTCTAAATTTTATTGTGAAGGTTGGTTCCCAAGCACCCCAAGTCCCCCAATTAAGATTCTATTCCAATATTTTTTTTTTGTTCGTTTTTAAAATCTTAATAGTCTGGGTTTTGTTTTGTTTTTGTTATTGTTGTAGGAGTGGGGAAGGAAGTGTCAAGAAAATACTGTCCCCCTGTGAACTTGGTTGGTTCCCGTTACATTTTTATTTTCTTATTTTTTTGTCCACTGGTGTGTAGTATAAGTTTGCAGGCAACTTCTAACAGAGATCCTTCACTTTTAACAACTTTAAATTTTCAAATTTCTAACTTCTACATTTTGAGTTTTGAGTTGTCACCTAGACGTTTTATAAATGTGAAAGTAAATTGTTCCTTATATTTGGTTGTGAATTTTATCTAGAACTGGTCAAAATGATGCCATAATTATAGACCACAGAAACTTTTTATTTTATTTTATTTTTTTAAAATATATTTTATTGATTTTTCACAGAGAGGAAGAGAGAGGGATAGAGAGTTAGAAACGTCGATGAGAGAGAATCATCGACCAGCTGCCTCTTGCACACCCCCTACGGGGGATGTGCCCGCAACCAAGGTACATGCCCCTGACCGGAATCGAACCCGGGACCTTTCAGTCCACAGGCTGACTCTCTATCCACTGAGCCAAACCGGTGCCGGCTATTTTCTTAATAGTATTAGGTAGACGGACCAAGAGTTTGCTTGTGCCAGTTTTATAGGAAGGAAGACTAGAATCCAATTGGGTTGACATTCGAAAGCATTACAAAACAAATTAGCACAGGACTGGTGCAGAGTAAAAATGTGTTACTCAATGATTGTTCTAAAAAATTTCCAGGTTGATTCAAATAACTTGAGTTAAGTTTAAGTTTTCATTTGTTGGAATGAGTAGGAAGAGATTTATTTTTTAGCTTTTGTATCTTTATGTTCCTGTTTCAATATTTGCCCTTGAGTCATTGAAAGTTTTACTTTACTATGGTTAGGCTGGAACTATCTGATAAATCAAATGACTTATCCTCCTCCCCCCAAAAAAAGATCATAAAAGTCACTTGTAAAAAAAATTTTGGTAAAATTATTGACAGAAAAGTTAACAGGTAAGTCCTGGACGAATTTCTTGAACCTGTTTCTAATAACCTGAGCGATGGGGATGATGTATGTTGCCTTCACTCACAGGTGACAGCACACAGCACTAGGATCTGGCATATACTAAGTAGGTAAAGATCTTTCTGGTCCTGGTATACTTTTGTGTCCCTACTGTGCACTCCCATGTCAGAATTGACTTGAGTTTATGCCTGTTTTTCATTTTAAAGGCACAGGACAGCTAGAATGTAAAATATACTGTATTTTAAATAAATATATATATGTGTGTATATACTGTGTGTGTGTGTGTGTGTGTGTGTATTTTATTTCAGAGAGGGAGAGAGAGAGAAGCATTAATGATAAGAGAGAATCATTGAGTGGCTGCCTCCTGCACACTCCACACAGAATTGAACCTGTAACCCGGCATGTGCCCTGACCAGGAATCGAACCATGACCTCCTGGTTCCTAGGTCGACACTCAACCATTGAGCTACAACAGCTGGGCTAAAATATACTGCATTTTAACCACTAGATTAATGTACACAATAGAGAAGTGGCAAGGATTTTTTTTTTTTTTTTTAATTTTGTTTTTGGTAAAGAGTGAGGAAGGAGGTTGGGTATAAGGGGAGGGAGAGAGGAGGAGAGAGGGAGGGCTCAGGAAAAATCAATGTGTATGAGAGAGAGAGAGACATTAATTGACTTCCTCTCGCATGCCCCAACTTCATGCCCAGGATGGAGCCTGCAACCCAGGGATGTGCCCTTGACTGGGGCCAGTGCTCTAACCAATGAATAACACCTGCCAGGGCGTGGCAAGGATTTTCTAAATGTCAATTTTTACTTCCTCAAAATACCCTTGTATATTAGCAGTTTATCATCCTAACCAATGTTTTTGGTGGAAGCCATTTCTTTTTTCAGCTCTTAAACCTGCCACATTATGTTTTAGTTTTTACACATTAATGTTTACATTAGCGTTCTGCTTCTGGAGCTTTTCAGCTATAGCTCTTTGGCCAGTGAGATATTACTGTTAAAATTAAAGTGCAAGACATGTTACCGAGTGCCTTGAACTCTGGCAGTTGCTTATTCTCAGAGCTTTGTAAGTTCATTCATAGGGCTTCAGGAAGGCTGTCTGTGCTTGATGCGAGTGCAGTGCCTGTTGTTAAATTGTAGTAAATCTGTGTGTGTTACAATAGGGAGCCCTTGCCAGCCTGAGTCCATGTTCTGTTGCGGAGTAAGAGATGAGTTGTCATATCCAGCAAAAGGATGATGGGGATGGAGGAAAGGGTTTCTGCCTTGGTTGCCTTTTGGTATTTTCTGTTTTACTTTGCTTTGTACCTTCTCCTTAGTCTAGTCTATAAAAAGGGTGAAGGGTGTGATTAAAGCAGTAAATGGAGAATTGGTGCCGAGTGCTGTTTATAGGAGCTTTAAGTGGTAAATAAGAAAGGGGGAAAAATAGCAAAAATGTTACAGATACAGTGGGAGTATAACTTCCTGGTATATTTATAAAAGTATTCCAGGCCGAAACTGGTTTGGCTCAGTGGGTAGAGTGTCAGCATGCGGACCCTTGGTTTGATTCCGGTCAAGGGCACGTACCTTGGTTGTGGGCACATCCCCAGTAGGAGGTGTGCAGGAGGCAGCTGATCGATGTTTCTAACTATCCCTCTCCCTCTCTGTAAAAAATCAGTAAAATATATATTTTTAAAAAAGTATTTCAGGAGTTATTCTGCTAAACACTCATCAATTAATGGAAAAATAAGACATGCTTCTTTAGTGGGCTTTTTTGTTGTTGAGATTTTAGGGTTCTCTCCTTTTAGAATTTTTGGAGTTGAATTTTTTAGTGTGGCTTAATTAGAAAAATGAATGAACCTTGGCCAGGTAACTTAATTGGTTAGAGCAGTGGTCGCCAACTGGTGGTCCGTG